CTGCTCCGGCTCTCAATGTTCCACACTGCCCGGCCACAGAGCCGCCGCCGCCGCCGTAGAGCCCCCCGGCCGCCTCCGTCCCCTCCTCGGGCTCCGCGGGCCCGGCCCGGCTCCCCGCCATCCCGCCCCTCCGACCCAGCAGCGGGACAGGACGCCGGCGAAGGTAAGGGAGCGGCGGGCGAGGCGGCCGCCGCGGCGGCTGGGCGAGCGCGGTGGGGGGAGGCGGGGAGGAGGCGGGGGGGCTGGTAGAGGAGCTTTGTTCTTGTTTTCGGCGCTTGCTGCCTGGCGGCGGCCGGGGGCGCGGAGCCGGCCCGAGTTCACGCCTCACTTGGTGCACACGCACGGTGCGGAGCGGGGCCGGGCGAGCCGCCGCCGCCGCCCGCCGAGCCGAGCCGAGCCGAGCCGAGCGGAGCGGAGCCGAGCCGAGCGGAGCCGAGCCGAGCCGAGCCGAGCCGGGCTGGCGCTCCCCACAAAGCACGGCCGGGTGGCCGCCTGGATCCAGCCCTGCCGCAGCTCCCGCCGCTCCTCCTCGGGCCCCCCCGGCCGCCGGGGCAGCCCCCTCCTTCCCCCACACCCCCACCCCCCTGCCTTTCCGATCGGCGCAAAAATGTCGGTCTGCCTGGCGGAGCTGCGCGGGGAGCGGCGGCCGGGAGAGCTGTGCAGAAGGTGCAGTTTGAATTATGCTTCTTCCCCCTCCGGCAGCTCTGTGGTGGCCAAATGCAGTTCTGGCTGCTGGCCATGTAAATAACCGGGGCTGCTGCTACCTCAGTGGCTTTAAATGCATCGCGGGGCTTTTCCCCTTCCTAAAAAAAGCCCCACCACCAACAAAAAAAGCAAACCTCGTCCCCCCCGTGCCCGCCCATTAAATGCTCAGAGCAAGTGTACATTTCCATCTGAAATCAACCCAAATGTTACTTACTGGCAATGTATTTTCTCGGGGAGAGGGGAAGAGGGGGGATCTGGCGTTTGGACCCAATAAAATGCTCCACTCCAGTGTAAATATTTACAGGTTATTAGTGACTTTTTAAAAAACATTTTCAGTGAGGTCTGTTATTTACAATGTGTCATAAGTTATTAATGTTCATTGCCTAAGTACCCTGCTAAATCTGTCTCATGCCTTAGAACAAAGTCGACAATTGGCGTATTGTTTAAAGTATGAAAAAAATGCGAGTGGGTTTAAAAATTGGAAATATCTGTATTTTCAGAAGTGTAAATATTGCTTTGTAGCTGTCAAACTCCAGCCCTTGGGTATGAGACAAAGAAGTATATTTTGATTAATTTCTCACTGAAACTGACTTGTCACCTATTCAAAGTTCTCTGGAACTTGGGAAATGCCAAGAGAGAGTCCTGCCTGTTGTATGAGCTCTGCCTCTTTTCTTCGCCAAAGAAGTTGTGCATGATGTCCAGTGATAGGCAGAGGTCAGTGGAACTTGAGGAATGACAAGAGAGAGTCCTTCCTCTTGTATTAACTCTGCCTCTTTTCCTTCCCCAAAAAGTTCCCCACGATGTCCAGTGATAGGCAGAGGTCAGACGATGAAAGTCCAAGTACCAGCAGTGGTAGTTCAGATGCCGATCAGAGGGATCCGCCTGCACCTGAACCTGAAGAGCAAGAAGAACGAAAACCCTCTGCCACCCAGCAGAAGAAGAACACCAAACTATCCAGCAAAACTACTGCTAAGCTATCCACTAGTGCAAAAAGGTAAAGGGGAGAGTGAAATATTCTGCAGTATTTGTGCATGGTGTTTGGAGTCACAGTACTTGCTCTGTGCTTGACAGGGCAGAGGGATTCTTCTGAATCTATGTGGAAGGGAGTGAAGTATCAACTTTGATTGTAGTACTGCCTGTTAAGCAGTATCTTAATTTATCCAACTCTTGTTGGGGTAACAGTTACACAGACTTGTCCTATGTATTTTGAAGAGTTGTTACAGAACTTGGTAACTTACTGGCTGCCTGAGAGCGGGACACCTAAATACGTTTTGTATTTGCAAAAATGCGTGAGAGCTTTGGCTTTTTTTTTTTTTTTTTTTTTTTTTTTCCCTGAGTTAGGTTTCCATGCCTGATTGGTTTAGGGTGGAGCCCTCCTGGAGTATTTTATTATGGTCTGTAGACTGATGACAGGCAGTGCTCTCTAATTAGAGAAGTCACAAAACCCCAGTGGCTTCTCTGGGCCTTATGAGAGCTTTTCATGTTGATACACAGGAGAGCCTTACACACCTGGAAGGAATGGGTCCATTCTGCAATTTTCTTGGGAGAAACTTAAGCGAGTTATCTCCCTTAGGATCTGTGGATTTAAACCATGATGTTCTACAGGTTGCCTCTACCTTTAAATGTGAGGTGTTTAATTACATTAGTTGCACTTTTATTTGCGTGTATAGTTATTGGCGGTCAAGATGTGTACGCTGGTAATTTTGTCCAAGATCAGCTGTGTGAAATACTCAAACTTTAAATTCTTTGATTCCAGCAGCCTTTGGAGATGAAACATAACTTTCCAGTCCTTTCCCTGGACTTGCTTTTCTTTGCAAACATTTATAAGTATCCTGTAGCAAGAAAAGTTGTAAAATAGCTCTAGTAGCTTCAAATTTTGCTTATTCARCGTGAATGCTTCTAGGAACACTTTAGTAATTTTGTATTGGACTTAAACTTAGTAAATTATTTTTTAAATGTGTTTAAATTGTTGCAGAGAATGACTGAGTGGCTTTGATGACTTTTGAGCTTGCTAAAGAAACCTTTTGAAATAGGATTTGGCTAAAGAAAAAAAAGTTTTGCAACTACTGTGTAGCCTTTATGATTTGTTGTTGATTATCTTTATTTGACAAGCTTCAAATACAGGCTTTTGACACTGAGTTTTCCCATATTTTCTTTATGTCAGTTAATTGTTGCAAGTCTAATTCCATGCATCTCAAATAGCTCAGTAGGCTGAATGAGCTTACTGGTATTAGTGCAAGGACATCAGGAGATGCTTCTGTTTTAACAGAGAAGGATGTCCAGAGAAGCTCATATTTTAACATCTGCTATCTGCATGAAATTCACAGTATTGCTCATATGGATACTTTGGTGAAGAGATATCTTACTTGATATTTTTAAGAGGTGTTTAAAATGTGTATTTTGAAATTGCACCTCTTATGTACCTGAACAAACTTAAATTGACAGGAAGTTTTCAGTATTCATTTTTCAGATCTTAACTCCTTGTGAGTAGTTGTAATAGAGTAAAGTTAAGCACAGATTATTTCAAGTCATTGTATCACTTTCTGTCACATAAATACAGCTACTATATAAAGTTGCAGGAGAAAAGGCAGCAGAAGGTATGGAAAGAAGCAAAGTTGATCCAGAGAGATTATTCCAGTAGCAAGAGACAGCCTGGCAGATCTGCAAATCCACTTTTTAAATACACTGCAAAGTAGTAGGTAAAATACTGTGAAAAGAGTGTGTCTGCTGCCAGCGTGGTTCACTTGAGCCTCAGTCACAGGTCCTGTAGTGCTGGTTTAAAGTCATTGTCAAATCTGCCTGTGCAGGCTCCCCCCACCCCGCCTCATTTGCATATTAGCTTGAAAAGAAAATCTCCCTGGTAAAAAGTGCTCGGATGTGAAAAAGAGTTACTTTTCTGAATAGTTGTGGGAAATTTCTACCCAATTCAGCTGTAAGCATTCTGTGTACGTGCAGCCTGGAGTAGGAAAAAAGCTGCAAAGTTTCTCAGCTGTGGGATTTGGGTTATGCCTCTGAGAACAAAGAGGAAGCAGCCATGTTAGCATTACTGAAGGCAAAGCCAATCTTGCATTTAACTGCATGGTGGTAGAGGGCAGTGTAATTCCCTGATTTATCCTATAGACTATCTCAAATRCTTTGTGTCTGTTCTCATTTCACCAACAGAATCCAGAAGGAGCTAGCTGAAATAACCCTTGATCCTCCTCCTAACTGCAGGTATGTAATGGCTTCTTAAATTGTGGTCGGTGGTAGGAAATTAATGTGCTCAGGTTAACAAAAAGGAAACTTAGTGTTTACGACAGGTGACTTAGACAGAAATTGTGTACAGCAGATTGAGCAAGCATACAAAACATTAGAAATTGAAGTTTGATATTTTGTCTGCATGTTGAAGGTGTAGTCATTAGTGATTGATGTGCRCAGTAAAATCTATTCAGTTTGTTGTTTCGCAGCTGGTCACTGCCTTCTTGAAATATTAATTATATGAATGTCAAAATACGCTGAAGCTTTCAACTTAATGTCTGCATGTAGTTTGAACTGGGTTTTTGAGTGCCGAGTTTATAGAGTGATCTTGTCATTCTGAAGTAAAGAACCGTATGTGATTTTTATATGCTTTCCCTTAGTGTGTTGTTTAATACATAAACTGAACTATTGCCTCTAAATTTATGTGTCTGTCGGTCAGAGTGGTAGTCTCTTGATAAAGGATGTTTTTAAGGAAGTTCCCAACTTGAGAGACACTTCTGTTAAATTTTAGAAAATGAAATTTTAAACATGAAWGAGAGAGTGATTTAATCTTAAAGTGACAGTTTGGAACTGAAGCACTTGATCTGTAGGAAAGTTAGATAGCAGCATAGTTAGCTGATTTCTTTAAATTTTTTTGTGTGTTTTGTTTAAAGRATGCATAAAAGTCCTCATTAGCTGTGAGCATCCATTGTTCAGATTTGCAGTAAAGCTACATTGAAATAATGTTGCTTTCATTTGAGGCATCTCAGTAAGATTTCTGACGGGAAGGTATATTAATAACTTGTGTAACAGTGAGCTGTGTACGTTTTAAAAATATGCTGGAAATGCTTTCTGTTTCTGTGTTGAGATTGGCTTTTGAATAATTGGAAAGGTTTGGTGCACATTGTGTGAATATGATAAAATATGATCTGTTATTCTGTCTCACTAATCCATGAGCACAGGGGCTAACCAGAGTGGTGTTTTATTGAATTGTGGTGCAGCTGTCTTATCCTGAGGACTGTGCTGTAGATTGCTCATGGCAGTCTGGTGTATTTGCATGCAGGGTCAGTGGCTCTCATTCTTCAATAATGGGGAGAGCAGTCTGTTGCCTTTCATTTTTTGTTTGGGGTTTCTGTGTTTTGGGTTTTTTTTTGTTTGGTTTTTTTTTTTTTTTTTTTTTTTTTTTGGGAAGGTGGTTTTGGTTTGGTTTGGTTTTAAATAACTGCTTTAGGTAACTTTTAATAAATTACTGCAGTCTCGTTCTGTGTTGGTAGTGCATTTCATATTTGGACCATCAAAGGGACATGGTAGAAAAGTATTTAAATGAAACAACACTGACACTTTGCTCACAGTTGCCAGAAAGATAATTGTAGCAGTTTTGGGTACAGCAAGTTGCAGCTTTTAGTAAGAAAAGCTTCCCCCTTCACACTCTGCAGTACTATCTGGTACTTAGCTTCTTGGGAAAGCATGTTCCTCTCATATTAGCACAGGAATATCGCAGAGCATTTTGCTTGTGAGCTGGTACAGCCAGATGCCTAGGAACACTGTTGAGACTGATGAAAACCCCCCAATGTGTCTAAAATTATTCAAGTTTCTTTCCTACAGAGCGTAGGAAAAAATGTTTTTATTTTTTGCCAGTGAGGAAGTCATTGCTTCTGTTCCCACAGGTATTTTTAAGAGTAATTTAGTGGATTTACTCAGTAACAACTTTATGATAAGTGCATTTTTACCCTTTGCAAAATAAAAAASAATATTTACAAGAAAAAGAACCTTCCATAGCAGAAGATCTGGGTTTTCATGATAAACAGTTTGAACAGAGTTTCAATGCCCGAAGTAGTTGCTGTTCCATTGAAGCTGACTTGTTAGAGAGGTAAATGCAACTGTGTGTTATGTGCAGAAACAGTTGACACTTTTAGTTTCTTATAGGGTGTAGTAGCACCGATTTGGCTACAGACTGACACAGAAGGCAGATGACCCCTCTGCATTGCTCATCATGCAGCAAGCAGCAGAATACTATTTATTACATTTCTTATGAAAAAAAGGAATTTGTAAAAAAATTCCCCAAATGTTTAAAAGCCTGTGTAACTTGGACATATTCGTATGTGCTTTAAAAATAAAAACCTTGTGTTGTAGGTTCTCCCCAAAACAGTTTTTCATGCACAGTTGTTTCTCCTCCAGTTCTAGAGCATACCCTTATCACTTGCAGTCCACGTGTTGCAAGTTTCACAAGAATACAACTGGCAACTAATGCTCGTGGATGCTGATAGTCCTTCTGGTTACTCAGTTACATAAGTAATGAAAAATTAGCAATTTTAAAAATGCACTAATGGCATGTATAAAACATTAACTATTACTTTAACAGGATACAGTACAAATACTGAAGATTACGTTGAACTGATATCTGCTGGCACTTCTCATCTGCCAGTGCAACTACTCAGAGTCACCCCACGGGAGTGACCTGAGGCTGATTTAGCTACTTTGAAATGATACCAACTGGTTGCACTGCGATTCTCATGCAAAAGAGGTGTAGATTTCCCCAGCAGTTATTTTTCCTGCAGTCACATCTATTGCTATAACATCTGCTTTATAAAAATGCCCCAAGAAAACCCTCTTCTGGGGTATGCTGAGCAGGCCTGGGCTGCACRTTAACTTCTGTTTTCAGCACTGGGATAGCAGAATGACAGGCACTGACTAAACAGTAGTTTGTTGGTTGCCTGTCTCAACAGTAAAGATTATTTTTGATTCTGTTAATTGGACAATGAACTGTTGAAAAAAATCATGTCGTCATGTATCATGCTGCCATGTTTGTGAGCAGTGAATATGAACTGCATCTCGGGGATACCAACTATACCAACTATAAAACTATATCTTCATGCTGATAGCTTTACTCTTTAACATGCAGTGGTGCAAAATTCCTGTGATTTTGGTGTGATTTTCAACAAAGTTAAAAAAACATCAATAGTAATAAAATTAAATTCAGTCTTAGGCCAGTGAAGATGTTGCAGAAAAATTAAGTGCTGCTTTCTATTCATATTTTCTCCTGCCCATCAGAAAAGCCTGAAACATGTCAATTACTGTCCAACATACACCATAGCACTAGGACATATAGGTAAACTGAGGACACAGTTATCTGATTCAATTTTTTCTTGCTTTTGCTGGCTTAACTCAAAGCTGTGCTACTTGGTGCAGTGTGCTGTATTTAATTTCTTTTGTGCTTTTAATAGCATAAAGCAAAGCTAAAAAGATCTTGGCCCTATTGCTCCTAGGCAGCTCAGTTTCAAACCATGGCCAAGCACTTATACATACTTCAAGGTATGGAAGTGTGCCAAACCCCATTACAGACTCTCAGGTAAATGCTGCAATGATTTTGCCCATAGTGCATGGTAAATCTGGGTTGCAGAGATGCTCTTAAATAGGTTTGACATATCTGGAGTAACTATTTTCAGCTCATARCATAGAACTGTTTAGATCAGAGGTCACTGCTCTGTAGTTAAGGTTATGTCTGTGGCTGCTATTCTGCCCTGCCCAACTTGGAGGCTGCAGCTCAGGTTGAGCAGGGCACTGCAGGTTCCAATGCTCATTGTATTTCCTGGATTTTAGGGCTGGCTGGGGATGTTTCCAGGGTGCTGTGATTTATGGCAGCTTCCTTTAGCCATTCCTAGCTGTCCTGTTGATCTGCAATAACAAAAATGTGTACTCCCAGTTTCCTTTGCTCACTTGTCCTCATTTCCATTCTGAAATTAATCATTGTCCTTTCTGGAAAAGTTTTTGAAGTTCAATTTAATAACACTCATGTCAGTTTAGTTCATAGTTTACAGCCCATTTTRTAACAAATCCACATTAGTATAAACTTTGCAGGAAATTAATGCCAACAGCATGTTCAGTGTATCCACTCAGAGCTTAAAAAGTTTAAACTCAGATTTAAAAAGTTGTCAATTGAAATAGTGCATCTTTCCAAGGCAAGCGGGAGAATTTAAGTATTTTATATCCTGTACTGTAAGTTGGCTTTAATCTCTTCTATCTGTTAAATTAAAAAAAACACGTATTTGAAACTAAGTGGTTAAAAAGAAMAAAGTAAAGAAGGTCAGATAAAACACATGCTTTGGAACATTGGTCAGAGATACAACTTGCTTTCTWCATAGCTGTTGGGAAACTGGACTCATTACTAAGGGAAAGCTGCTTGGATCACCCCAAGAGCTCTCTGTTCTGTCTCATCCTCTAGCCAGTGACTGCCTGGCCTTAAAGGTCTGTTGGAAAGATTTTCCTTAATAGGGATTACCATATTGATTACTATTTGTGTTCGGGCCTTGTATGCTAATACTTACTAATGTGATTCCTTGAGCAGTATTACAGAAGATAGCAGCTGATGATTTTGCTGTTTGTAGCCTCTCCCAGACTTGCAATTAGGTTGGTATTTTATGATATGTTAATTTTGAAATTGTGTTTTTTAAAATAACACTCCAAAGTATGTGGACTAAGAACAAATGGAAGAAAGACACATAGGGGGTTTGTTTTAATACGGGATTCTTMTGCTTCCTGAGAACTTCATTTGTCCCCTACTTTACTGAACGTCTTGGGCTAATTGTACACTGCAGTGTTGCCAATGCCAGGGTCTGGAGTTTGACACAAGGAAGAATGCCTGCAGAACCCTGGCAGGCGAGCTCTATTACTGCTTTCGTTATGGACCCATGGATCCAAATGTTTGTAACTGTCAGTCTGTGCTTGTTATTCCATCAGTGTGGAAACACTGYAGGATGTGTTTAAAGCAAAATTGTGAAGGGATTCTTCAGATTAGCAATTTAAGCTCTTTCAGCTGAGCTGTCTGAAACAATGAGGAGCAATGAACAATTGTGCTGGTGGTGCAGGCTGATCCACGTGCAGAGGTAGTGCTGGATTTGAGCTGATGCAGCCTTGTGTTTGTGAGGAAGGTGCTGCAGCTAAGCTTGTAGAAGCATTCCTTTTGTTAACATACTCTGTCTACAGTAAGGTTATAGGCA